GCACTGAGGGCTGTTTGATTGTAAAAATGTTTACAAACTTATAATGTTTTTATCCAACATGGGTTGCATATAATTATGTACAACTCAGAGTGTTCATACTATTTTACTCTATCATAAGTATGGACTGGGCTGGCTATGTTTTGTTGCTAATCTGTTGTTACATGGTTTTTAAATACTCTTGCAATGCCGGTCTATGGATTACAATCTCTATCATAATGATGGGCTGGGGCTATGTTTTGTTGGCTTCTGTTGTTTACATGTTTAAATACTCTTGCAAGCCGGGTCATGGATTACAAAGGTGTTTCGAGATACGCTTGTCGAAACTGAAAAAGAATTTGAAAACTGACTTTCTCCATGGCTGATATGCGATTTTAAGCCATTTCTAAGGTACATGACCATAATGCATACAGGACATACATGAATTTCTATAGTGACGGATGATGTAAAAGTGTGAAGACAATTTCTGTAGAGCGCAAGCATTACAAACAATAATGGTCATTGAACGAACATGAAAGTCTTAGACTGCACACACATGAAGTGACAAACACGCTGTGCATTACCAACTAACATACAAAGAAACTGCACATTATACGAGGAGCACCCTCATGCTTCGACGACAATCTAGGCTTATGTGGAGGAAAATTTTAGGCTGCATCATGTGCACTAGGGTAATCACTGTCTTTAACTACTTTCCCCCACTTCTCAGAAAGTTTTCAACTTGTGTCCTTTCCCCTTTTTACTGCATTCATTCATAAAAATTGGGGCATTTACAAGTTTTTACTGTTGTTGTTCACAAAATTTTTCTTTTCAATAACTCATTTTGTACAAAACTAGATTGTTAGACAACCTATAATATAGCATAAGCAAGTAATAGCTACCAACACCATTTAGATGTTTTTATTACCTGAGGCTGCTTGTTTTTCATAGTATAATTATTAACTACTCTGCTCGTTGAGGTGTGCCGCTGACCCTTTCCCCCCGCAATCCAACCTAACATCCCTTTTACAAGGCATGCCTTGACGGCATTAGGTATGGGTATGTTGGGTTGGCATTGCTGTACGAACAGGAGGGGACGCTCCCCTCCTTACTCCCAATGCCCGGTTAGGCAGTTGCCTTTTCTGGCGCCTGCTGCACCGCCCCTTAATTTTGGGGGGCAAGGCATGGTGGTTGCACTGCGCCACGCTCCGCCCATGCTGCGCCGACCCGTCATGTCATCTGCACACTTTAGATGACACAGAACGCATAACTTGGCCTCGCACTCAAGGGCTGCCGCTACATATCTCTGTATAGGGGTGGGGAGGCTGTTGCTCTCTGCACCCCGGGGAGGGAGTATTTTGTAGAGACACCCAAACTTCCCACTCTGCTTGGCCACGCGGTGAGTCTACTGCAAGTGCTGCATCACGTTCACCAGGTCATCCCTGTCTTGTCTCCTTGCTTTTCATGGCATCCCTTTATTCCACACTTTTTTAATTCGAACAATTTTACTGCATTCACATGCACGATGTGCAATAAAAAGATATTTTGGGCATAAGACCATAAAAAAATAAACATTAGTGGCCTAAAGCTATTGGCTCAGACGTCTTGTCATCATTCACATTACATCAGTGCACCAAATTTCACTGTGAGAGGACCCATCAAAGGGAAGTTACAGACACAAACACATTTTACTAGTTTTTATTTCCTGAGGCTGTTTGTTGTTGTTGACATTTTAATAGTAATGATGGGTTGCATGTGTGTTTACAAAGTTTTATAATTCTGGGTATTATCACACTTATTTGGTCTATATCATAATGTATGGGCTATTTGTTGTTGTTTTGTTTGTTAGTCATACATGTCTGTCTCATCATGCTACCACTCTGTACTAGCTCGCGTGTGCACATATAGATTGATTTGCCAGCCCTCGGTTTGTGTTTGTGTTTTATCTCTGTACATATCAAGTGAAGCCCTCACACTTCTTTCTCTATATAGCATGTAAGTAAAGCGTGAGCTGTTATTTTACATTGTTTACAAACAAACTAAAATGGTCTTGTATGCCCGGTCACATTTTCCAATCCTTGTACAAAGTTTAATCTCCATATCTTGAGTGGATACGCTTGTCTAAACTGAACAACAACGAGAAGAATTTCGAAACGGACTTTTCTACTTGGATACATGCATAAGACTGATGTGTCAAAAGTTGGATCTGATTGAAAGTCTGAAAGTGAAATATGAATGCATGGGAATAATGCAGGGTACCTAGCATCATAGATGTGATAGGGAATTTTGTTCATCTTCTCCTTCATTGAACTTGCGTAACTCAATAACTAAATATAGCTTATACTGCGCGTCAATGGAAATACATGATTTAGACGACCCGAGGGTCCCTGATCTGTAACTGTCTGAGCACAGCAAAGATGCTACTAAGGGCTCCGAGGCTGTCTAAATCGTGTATTTATATTCACAAGCAGTATAACCTATTTAGACGGAGACCATGCTGGCCGTCAAATTGTCCGAGTCTGTCGCCTTCAGCGAGACTCGCTCTTGCCGGAGGAAGCTAAAAAGGTCTTCATTTTAGTTTCTTTTTGCATTGTAGAGACGCCTTTCATCGAAGACGCATCGGATACAGAGAGCTTCAAGTCGTCGCAGCTACATGTAGCTCTCATAGACAGAGCGAGTTTCTTTGCGTGGCACTTTGCCACACCCCTATCGAAGACGCCATTTTTTGGCGGGCGTCTCCTTTGGAAATTAGAATCCACGTTCTACGCCACCTGATTGGTCAATTTGAATCTGCATAACTTAAATTGTGAAAGAATGTAGATATCCGTCATTTGAAGAGACTGGTAATACTTGGCATGTATGCCTATTATATCATCCTCAAACTTGCTAATTGTAGCACGCATGGAGGTGAAACTAGGTGCACATTGTTTCCACAATAACACATAAAATTACTTCTTCACTCCTCAAACTTGCTAACTGTAGCACGCATGGGGGTGAAACTTGGTACGCATGTGGATTACATCATTTCCATGACGACCACAACAACAAATAGCCTCAGGCACTTTTCTTTAAAATTTCTTCTTCACTTGCTCATAGTTGCACGCATGGAGTACACATGCATAATACATCCTTTCGTGTTCCCATGACAACCACAACAACAACAAATAGCCTCAGGTGCATTTACTTGTTCACTCGTCAAACTTTCCAATGGTAGCATGCTTAGAGATGAAACTTGGTATGTATGCTTATTATATCATTTCCATGACGATTACATGTTTCCACGATGACTGGATATTGCTTGAAAAAGCATCACACAATTTTCTTCAAAACTACTTCTTCACTCCTCAAACTTTCTAACTGTAGAAGGTGAAACTTGGTACACATTCATAATCAAAGATCCTCAGGCACCTTTCTTTAAAATTACTTCTTCACTCTTCAAACTTGCTAACTGTAGTGCGCATGGCGGTGAAACTCAGTGCACATGTGTATTATATCATCTCCATGAAAATAACTGTCATTTTTCTCTACTAAAATTTTATAGGGAGCTCGCCCCCTTTCACAAAAATAATATACGTAGTTGTAAGCATGGTTAATGAACTGATTTGCGTACGCTGACACCCCTAACCCCATCACAATTCCGTACATTGGGTACTGGTATACTAGGTGAAGTATTAAACATTCACCATTACAATACTCAAAACTTATAATACAAAATTGTCATGCTACCGTTATAGAGTCTAAGTGCACGATGGCGGCTCTTACTACTGCACAGTGCACACTTACCAACACTGAAAGCTGAATTCCCTACCAACCAATTTGACCACGTGAGTAGGTAGCGTAATGTTTAGAATAGAGGTGAAACTGGGCCACAGGCAGTATAGCTACCACCCACACTGGATGCCCGCCATTATAGCTACCTCTCACTATTCACTCACACTGGCTGCCCGACAAATAACTGATGACAGATGACAGAGGCAAAAACAACAAGTCCAAACAAACAACTACAGACAGGTATTACCGTATCCAGGTACACAGCAAAATTCCTTTTTACTTTTTAAGCTCCTGCTCCAACGTAGAAACACCACATCTGAGACCGACTTTTCCACCAGACTTAGGTACATACTAAAGAGCTCGTCCATCAGTCACACTTTAAGGAACTCACTTCCACAGCCCAGGATTATTGTGTGTTTCTAAGAAGCACAAAAAATGCCCTGGGTTGAACACACCCATGTTGTGTGTACCTATGTCGGACCTCTCGTGCGCAGCGGGCTCTGTAGGCAAGACGTGAAACGACTGTAACTTGAAACTTGGTATATCAAGACACTATGCATAGGTTAATAGAACCGCTGCGTACTCAGCATCTCGCTGGCACAATTCGTGAAAGTGACACAGGGAATGGGAAAACGATGGATGAGTGGTGTTGAAACAGCTCTAGGAGCTCCTAGCCAGCACCCAAATCCTCAAGCTCGATCAATCGCAGCCATGGCCTGGCATGCAAACTACTGTCTCAAAGTATGTATGGTACAATATAGCGCCCCGTAGGTAGGTGTCCAAACGGCCAGTATATCTCTGGTTTTTCTCGCCTTTTGAATTCTGCTGTATGGCACGCCAACAGTCCCGCGTCCCATTCAAGAATTCCAATTAGCTGGTGCCCAGACCCTTCACAAAATATATGGGCATGCGCGAAGGAGGGAGAGAAGGGTCTGGTACAGCGGTTTTCATGCTTCTTGCACCTTCAAAGCGTAAAGCGGTGTGCGCATGCGTAAGTTTCGAAAACTTACAGCGAGAGACCTAGGCGACTTGAAACAGCAGCTATTCACTGTTCATCTCAAACAGGCTCGCTCTTTTGTTGCTGTAAACAAAACCTGTCTTACAGTACTTGCTCTGCGAGACTAGATGACCTAGTCGCGAGACTGTTACACCCAGGTACATGTATGTTGTCCAATGGCTTGCCAGAGCCCATTGATGACACCATATCATTGATTTTGGACTTCGTTGTATCCAGTCTACCAGCATAGGCTACTCCACGCTTTTAGGCAAGGGACCAGGCCGTTATCAATGTCAGAACCTGCACCTGGCTAGAGAATAATTATTGTAAAGTGGAGTCTTTGAGTGTACTGACTAGTCCAAGGGCGGCTCAAAGGAAGCCACAATGAAGATAAGCAGATAAAAAGACCTTGAAAACATGTGCATGTGCACACCACTTTGCGCAAGAAGCATAAAAGCCACTGCAAATGAAAAGCACTAAAGTGCAAACCCTTGGCACGAGTCAATAGAGTTGTTAGTCATGAAGTTTGAGAGTATATTGTGCATATAGCAAAGTAACTAAGGGTAGACTATTTTGACCAATTCATCATGTCCATTGCAGATGCTACTATTTTTAGCTTTGCAACACCATTGCACAACACATGTCATAGAAAAGCATTGCACAACAAGCAGCGTACACTATATATATGCACAACACAGTTCAGTATTCGGCGAACTGCGCATCGATGGGTTGGGCTATAATAGTAATACCTGTGGTCTCCCGCTAGTAGCTCACGGAGAGTCTGACACGGGCTTTGAGTCAAGCAGGCTTGCTCCGCAGTTTATGCAAGTACCGTCCATCCGTATAAAAAGCAGAAAGTCTACGTGTGTGCGGTGGGTGTAACCTCAACCACTCGAGATAAGTGGTTACTGAAATTCCTTGGCCCGTGGAGAGGCATAGTTATTTACCAGATCCTTCTCTCGCTCATGCGTTTACGCATGTGCATATATTCTGTGAAGGGTCTGGGCACCAGACAATAAGTACGTCCGCGTTGAGAATGCATGCGGAAGTAGATAATGAGGAGGGCGGTACTATTCTGCCGTATGTAAAGTATGCTGAATGGGACTATGCGTAGCGAAAAAACTACGCAGTGGATTTGAATGGGGTAAGCGCTTAACGAAGCGCTCCATTTTGACACCAAGCGTGGCTGCATACGGTAATGGAATCGGAAGTTATTCTACATTTTCAAGGTGCATTTTCAGCGTGAACGTACTTTAGCTCGACCTATGCTTAGCTTGTTGACAACACGTATGGGTGCTGGCTGAAACTCCTAGGACAGTTTCAACACCACTCATCCACCGTTCTCTTGCCGGTTTTTCGCGATTGGCGCGACATGGTGGGTCCATGGTGTTCTTTGCTCATTTTCTATCTAGTTTTGAGGCTAAGCAGAGCCTAGAAAGATATCCAGTGAGATAGAAGGCTTCCAGGCTGCTTAGTATACTTGCTGTTTTGCCCCGGCCACCCCCCCTTTTATGCACGAGTTGTTCGTTTAAACGCTGCGTTCAAAAACGTCGTTAAGTAATGAAAAGCACTGAAGTGCAAACCTTTGGCGCACTGTGACGCGCACGTGTAAGTAAACGCTTGCGCCATAGCACTAATTGATGGGCTGGGTTTAGTTTTTGCTGTTACTCGTGGTATCTTGCCAGCTCGTGCAGAGTCTGACGCGGGCTAACTACACTACTAGATAGCATGAGAGAGGCGATACACGCCCTGCGTTGCATCTTCTGGTGCCTCCGAGGTACGCAGAGCACGCGGATCGATCATGCCGTAGTAAGCCGTTGTGTATTTGCATATTGGCTTTTTTGCACTCTAGCTTTGCAACGGAGCGTTTTCAGAGAAACAGTTCGAAATTTCTTTCATTGCCCGTTCAGTAGGTGGTATCCTTTGTGAGACGAACGAACACTCGAGAAGTGAGATGAAGAGTAACAGACAGACACACAGACCTAACTACCGTAACCCTCGCTGCGCATGCGCGCCGAGGGTTAACGGTGTTTCAGGGTCCCTGCCTTCCCACTCCATTAGCTTCTAACGTGACTGTTTGTCAGTCAGCATCAACAAGTTTGAATTGTTCATTGTCAACAACATTGCGCAACAGAGTGACTATCAATCTTACAATCATTTCTTCAAATGAATGGGGTTATTAGAATGGCTCAAAACAGAAATGATAAACAAAAGGGTAATTACTACATGACACTACCACAAATAAATAAGGTGTAATCTTAGTTACTCCTTGTTGATAAATTTTTTTTTGTATTTTGAGCCATCCCTTCATTTTAAAGAAATGATTCTTCCACTTGTACGTACCTACTAAAATGAAATGCACTACAGTAAAAACCCTCCGTGGAGAAGCACTCGTATACACATTGATATGCATGTCAGTATATTGCTACTAGACTACACAGTAGATTTACATGTGGTCTCAGTCTGTCGCTTAGCTAACAGGCCAGCAGTAAAGCATTGTAGGCAAGGTTCATAGTCACTATGTAAATTGTAACAAATAGGTGTTTCCTGGGTTTTCCTTCCTGACAACAAGGGGTATGGTTGCACAGGACAGCCATGTGACATGTATTAGCAAAGACAGGGGATCATGTTGATAAGTCGTATGTTGGATAAAGGAGCAGAACTGCGTAATGTGTGCAAAGCTCCTTGTTATTCTGGGTTTCGCAAATACAACGTACCTGTAGATGATCTTCAATATCCTTTCTGTCAAACCTTTAAATTCTATTAAGAAAATAGACACGTGTTTAAAATATAATGTTTTCTTCAGTGTTAAGTCAGATGATTCACAAAGGTCCAAGGTCACACATGCAGTACATACTCCTAAAATTGCACAACCAATGATATGCCCAAGAGTGCACTAACATGGTACAAATCTTTGGAAGAAAGTGACCTGCACAAAAATACATTTCTCAGCGCCCTGAAGATTTTTACTTCCATAATTGAAACATTTTGTCTAGGGTATGCTAACATTATCAGAAATTGGCTGTTTCAAACAACTTTTGCTCTTATAGTTAGCATCATCCTATGTAGGATACGTTACACCACTTGGGGTTATACAAGGATCTTTCATCAAATCAAAACTGATCTTTCCACAGAGATAGTCAGGAACTTCCCTCTTCTGGAAGACAGAAACTTTACAGTTTGCATACACAACAATAGGTACAAACCTCTCTTGCTTTTTCCAGTTCTGTGAAGAGTAAATTAATCTCTACTACCCGTTCTGCCTGTTGAGAGGGTGCATACATAATTATATGAAACACACAGGTTATTGTGATTAAATAAAGTGCAAAGCCTCGGTGAATTTTTGGTGGTGCATTGCATTATACCCCAGTGTACCTTTAATCAATCGGCTGAGACATTCTTTTGAGCTATGTGTACTCTGAGAGTCTGACGGGGCAAGGTACAGTGTTTAAAGGCGTTGCCAGGATCAAGTAGTGCCACCGGTCCGACATTGCTTCAAGGGAGGAGTAAGAGAGCGGAAGGTTGCATAATAGTGCCTTACTCCCATTAATGATGACGACCTTACCTATCTCAGTGTATAGATGGACAAAAACTATGCAGGGGCTCCTAAGGGTGAGCCTTCACACTAAATTAACTCCTGCATGCTATTGCTACACTACACTCGTTCCCATGTGCTCAGTGGTGAGGAGTGAGCAGACAGCGCGCCCGGAAAAGGTGCAGTGAAACGCTGTATCGGCTGGTATGTTAGCAATAGTACATAATACTACAGGGACCTCACACCTCTCAGGAAACAGTCATTAACCCTCGTCGCGCATGTGCAGCGAGGGTTACGGTACTTGGTCTGTCTGTCAGTCTGTTACCACGTTTTCTGCCACCACGCGCAACAAACCGGCCAAAAAGTGACACCAACGGGTTCAGCGCTACACTGGCTTCATTTTTAAAAATGGCGATTTTCGTCAAAGTACTGCATTCTAAAGTGATGGTGTGAAAAGCAAGTCAACAAGCCAATATGCTATTAGCACAGGCTTACCTCGACCAGGTCCGATCTCTCTGTGCACCCACCTTGAAGGCACAAGAAGCCACAACGAAGGGCGTGTACCGACTCCCGCATGCTAACTACTATATACTGTAGCTAGCCCGTGTCAGACTCTCCGCGAGTAAAGGCATAGTAATAGCCCAGCCCATCAATTAGCGTTACCGCGCATGCGCAGTTCGCCGTGGGTTTGCACTTCAGTGCTTTTCATTCTCATAGCTCTTGGTTGCCTCCCTTCCTGCTCAGGGCATAATGAAAAACGGGCAGGGAAATTCACATTGTAGCTATACGATGGGCCGCAACACAAAAGATGTAATACGGGACACATGCATAGGTGATGGGGGCAGGGGGCATTTGTAGCGACAGACACTCTCACTCCCACAGACCCACAGACAATCACACTTTGACATTGCCGGACAGACACTCATATATACACATATGGACAGACACCCTTACTTGCAGGGCTACCAGGTTTCTGTACATTCACAACTTTGTGTCTGTTAACTAGGGTGTTTGTATGGTTGTTCCTGTGTGTTGTTCCTGTTCTCTCTTAGTGGTCCAAGGCGGCGGTTAATTGGGTCCTGTACCTATGAATAGCCACTGTATCCACAGAACAAGGGTTGTCAGGTGCTCGGTGTAGCGGTCAGCTATAGTCCATCCACGTTGAGTATGCACGTGGAATAACACCTATACTCTATTGCACATCGCTTGGTACAATTTTGATCTCCTGTTCTTTTGGTATTGGTTCAATACAGATCCAATGCATAGTTTTTGTCTGATATTAGAAAAACCTCCTTTTCAACAGAACAAGGGTTGTCAGGTGCTCGGTGTAGCGGTCAGCTATAGTCCATCCACGTTGAGTATGCACGTGGAATAACACCTATACTCTATTGCACATCGCTTGGTACAATTTTGATCTCCTGTTCTTTTGGTATTGGTTCAATACAGATCCAATGCATAGTTTTTGTCTGATATTAGAAAAACCTCCTTTTCAGTGCATTCTCAACTTTCATACCATAGTTTCACATTTATGTTTATGTGCCTTTGCTAGTTGAAGTGTTCAGCTAGTTTCACTTTTTATGTTTGCGTGCTTCTGCTACCTAAAGCGGTCAGCTGTTGTCGCTTTACATGCTTTTGGGCCTCCTTTAGCTGAGGCGGTCAGCTGGTATCGCAGTGGTGTGGTTGTATGTCCCTTGGTAAGCTAGTGCGCATAATAATTATGTACATGCTTCGACTAGCAGAAGTGGTCAGCCCACTGTGTTATGTAGGTTGATGGGCCCTTGGCAGCTAGGGTCATTGGTCTACGTATGTTTATGTGCGGTCAGCTTGCATTATTTGTTAGGTTATGGATCTCTCCTACTCAAAGCGGTCAGCCAGTGTTCATTGTTAAGTTAATGTGCCTATGCTAGCTGAAGCGGTCAGCTAGTGTCACTTGTTATGTTCATGTGCTTCTGTGAAGCTGTCAGCTGGCATCACTGGTTAGATTCATGTGCGTCTGCGACCTGAAGTGGTCAGCTAGTTTCACGTTCATGTCCCTCTGCTAGCCTAAGCAGTCAGCCAGCAGCACTTTACTGCGCAGGGGTGCCTTAGCTACAGCAAGTGTCACTTTGTTAGGTTCATATGTTATGTAATTTTCCAGAGCAGTTTGCACATGCAGGTAAAACGTAATCGAGTACTGTGGCTGCAAGAGGAATGGGCTTGGAATGCTTTTAGGAACCTTTGTTTCAGCGTATACCACAGACAATGGTCGTAGCCTTGCAAAAGCCAGTGCGCCAGTGTTGACAAAGTGCCGATGCAGCGGGTTGACTGGGTTATGTGGGCGAACATACTACTCTAAGGTGCAATGATGAGGTGTGCACAATCTCCTTTGGAATTGAACTGACACACAGTCGACATCGGTGGGGTTGTCGCAGGGGTGAAGTGATGCCTTGTGTTAGTCGGGCTTAGGGGGTGACTCTGTCTTGGGCTTAGCGGGTGGTTGTTGGAACCACACCACACCTTGCCTCCCAAGCGGGGTCAGTATAGTGCGTGCACTCATAAATGTCCATAATTTTGTAATAAAATTTGCGTGGTCAAAATATTTTTTATCAGGCCAGCACTTTCTACGTATGTAATACGGCTAGCATGGAATTGTATATCCAAATTTTGCTCTATTTAGACGTATAATACGTGACCTAGGGCCAGTTGAAGTTTTGACAAATGAGATTGGGGAAAATTTAGGAAATTTCCGCGCACGTCCGTTATGCGATACTTATGAATTATTAATGAAGCGTTCTTCTCGGCAGTACCGTGTTTATCCGTGAGAGTTTTGGCTCCAGCGATCAACTATTCCTACAAAATCTGGATGGAAAGCACTCAAAGAGCCCCGTGGTCACGTAAGAGAAAGCTGAGAGCGAAGATTCAACAAATGCGCGAGGCAAAGCTCGCAAGAACTGACACCTCAAGTTCGCCCTCGACAGCCATATCCCACGGCCTCTGGATCACAAGGCGAGTCTCCTTCTTCATCTTTACAAGGTATTGCTGGAGTTCACGGGCCCCAAATGTCACTGGAGGAGACGCTAGATGAGTCCGTGCACGTGTTCAAAAGTAAAAATCACACAGGCGTGTATTTGGATGACTGTACTCCGTGTGTTTTGTGTTGTTAAGAAGATCTTCTTTGAATCTTTAGCATAATCCTTTATGTACACTCACAGCAATTTTCAGTTGTTTGTTTTTTAAATTTTTTATCATTATGCGCATGTCATGCGATTTTGATTCTAAAAAGTAAAATCTACCCAAAATCTTCTTTGAACAGGTACTACCTTTAATAGTCCAAAAAAAGTTGAAGAAAAATTGTAATGAGGATGAGCTTAAAAACTATAAAAAGAGGACTTTTGAAACGAACAATGGTTAATGAGTTTAGGGGGTAGCTGCCATGGCAACTAATTTAATTAGTATGTTGGTTAGTTACCTCTAATGCCTATTCCAAACTTAAAATAAGGTAGGTCAGAGTTACAGCATATCATATCACACACATTCCTTGTGGACATGAATGTGTGCAAGCACTATAGCACAGTGGGCACTTATGACCTAATTGGAAGTCAGTCTTCCGTTATTGGTTATTTGGGGAGGGGAAAAACGTGTGGCTTAAAAGCCCAACCCAACTACCAATCCGTCAATATCACATGGTGACATGTAACAGTTACAAATGAGCACTCCGAGATGGAGGAGGCGAGACCAGTAAAATGGCAAGTGCATAGCATGTTGTAGCAGGGTACTGCCAAAGCTACAAGCTCACAACATTCATCAAGTGTTTATCCCTGCTGGTTGTATGGGTGAGGATGTTAATCAGAATTCCTTTGACTTTCAGTAAGATTGAGTTCCTGTTTTGCTGCAAACCTGCAGATGGACCCGTCATGATGCTTCCTGGCCCTGCTAAAGAGGAATTTTTTATATCAATATGTCCTTTTCCATCACCACTATTGATCGACCATCTTTCTGTCTTAGCAGGAGGGGGTTTGTGTTCTTAAAACCATTGTCTGGCACTAGTTAATGTCTTATCTTTTGTACTATGCTCTCCTATCACAGCAAAAAAAATTGGGAAACAGGTATATTAGACTGAAGCTCAGTCCATGCGCACATCCAATTTGCCCATACGTAATATTTCGTACGTTGTATATACGTACGTTCCTGCAATAGGCTTTTACCCTACAAATGTATTATTACAGAAAACACTGCCACACACGTTTGCATCATTTTATAATTACAACGTACATGTTCTTTATCCATCAAAGCTTTACAGTCACTACTCGGAGTTGCACCAGAATGAAGTGAAACATGTCTACAGTAAGAAAAAGAAGGAAAGCTGAGTACAGAGTTCATTTGTATTAGTTATTACATCCCTAAGAGGTATGTTGCCGGTTTATAGGCCCCGTGACCCGAGGGCGGGTAGAGCCCGAGGGGGGAGGGCCTATAAACCCCAACATACCGATTAGGGGTGTGATAATTGATTTATAGCCTGTGTTGCTAGGTGGTTTGACGTCATCCCTAGCTGAAACTTGCGACTACGGGTGGAGGACTGGACAGATTCCAACGAGAATGAGCCACCCCAGAGGGAGAAGGAACGAAGAGAAAACGCCTGTCGCTGCCGAAGAAAGGCCGCGACATCGGCCGTCGGGGTTTCTGTCAATCGCGGAGGAGGCCGCTGTGTCGGAGAAGTGTGTTCCGAAAAACACTGCGATAAGCACGAAGTGGGCTGTGTCTAACTTCGAGTGTTGGCGCAAAAGGCGTAACGAAACGTGGAACCTTGAGCCGGAGAGACAGGTACCCGACGGTCTATTGTTAGGTCAGCACCTCGCTGTGTCGCAAGGTTTGGCAGTGTCACCTATCAGCAGCAGTTCTCAATGCAATCTAATTCCATTGTAGCACGCATGGAGGTGAAACTTGGTGCGCATATGTATTGCATCGTTTCCATGACGACCACAACAACAAATAGCCTCGGGCACTTTTAAATACTCTCCTTAACCCATTCCACACCGGAGGCTGTGTTCACAAGACTTGCATATGCAAGAGCTCTTCAGGAGGAACTGCTGCAACTCACTTTTCCACTGCCCAGGTAAATTGTGTGTGTCTCTAAGACACTCCTTGCACAGAGACACACGTTCTCTGGCTGTCCATAAGCACCCTCTATTTCATGTTGCGTTCACACGCTCACTCAGCAACACTTTTGTTCAACACGTGGCAAATGAGAACCTTCACGACGGTGAATTTAGGGGCCGCATACCTACTACGCGCATAACTCTGCGTGGGAACCGGGATCACAGAACGGTACTACATATATTGTAGCCCTATTCCTATGCTACAGACTGGTATAGGATTCGAGACTTTAAGGGGGGGGGGCACAAAAAATGTCCAATGTTTAACCGCACCCATGTCGCATGTGCGTGAATGCATTCGTGACATGTAGATAATGCACATTTTCCCTTGACTTGAACTCATGAATAAATTAATAAGGCATTGCAAAGCCCAAAAATTGGAGAAAATATTTTCTCTCTCCTAGGCATACATAGTAGTCCATTAAGTTTAACAAAAATGATCTGAGATAAAGGTATAATAATGGCCTACTAGTGTGAACTACAGCAACATTATTGGCCTGTTACAATCTTACACTAAAATCCACTGTTTTCCAACCAAAAATAATACTCATTATATACCTCTCCATATGTTCATGTAGTAGGGTGAGCAAGAAAGTGTGCAAGTCACTTTGCTGTTGTAATCTCTTCTCTTCAATTTGTCTCCATCTCTGGTGTAAAAAAACTTTTTATCACAATTAGCGTTTGGCACACATGCTAATTATGTAGTTGTAAGTGTGTCAGTTATCACCCTCACACGCAATAAGAAGGCCAAGTGGCATATACCAGTACTACACTAGCTGGATCTTACTTTATAAAAAGGTATAATTATACTGGTGTGAAAACCGAGCCAATATTATGCTACTGAGCAATGACAAAATTCTGGATTGTTGTAAAAAGTGAAGGGACAGGGGGGTTACACAAAGGCCAGTTATGCTACTTAGTATGGCAAAATTGTGAATTGTGAAGGGATAACACGAAAATGAATTTGTATGGTATCAAGTTCTGTCCACAATGTGATTTATATAAATAGCTAATGAGGGCGAGATAGCAGGTAGCTAAACCTCATGGTGGTCGATCACTCAGCAGAACTTGAGCATGCATGTCACTGCACCCAATGTTCCTTGCATTATACTTAAAATTCACGGTGAATGGTGAATATGTAGTAATTGCAACGAGACAAGACAAGGATAACCCATATGATGACTATATACTTGAAACTGATAATGCTTGCTCGTGTAACTTTTTAGCCACACAAACCCTATATTGTAGCGAAGCATAAAAGTTTACTCCCTCATGTGCAGCTATGACCGATTACCTAGACAAGTTGTCTGCATCGTGTGCAGTGACATCCAATGTTTGCTCAGCCAAGCAGCTACGTATACAATGCTGTTTTTTGGCCCTATATCATTCATAACATTCATAACATGTAGACCAAAATAATTAACCCTCGGCGCGCATGTGCACAGTAGTTGGTTTGTCTGTCTGTCTGTCGACTACGAGGCGGCCTATTAGCAAGTACCACATGAGCTAATTGATACTTGCCTTTTTTTCGTTCTGTACAGCATTAGAAAGCACGAAATGGAATGATATTTCTGGGCATAATGCCCAAAATGTTGAATTAGGGGCCTTTTACATTTTGAGACAGTTATTCGTCGTTTGTATGTTTCTTTTAATAAACTTGTGTAACTTAACGTAAAAATCTCAAATGTATTGGCATAATGCAGGACAACCTGTGTTATCCGTTATTCCTATATACTAAGTACTACCGTACTTAGTGATATATCAGTGTACTAACTTTGATCGAGAAAGGGCACGGTATAAGCAAATCATATATACGCGATTTAGACGGCACGAGGGGCCCTGAGCTGTAGCTGTCTGAGCGCAGCGAAGACGCTACTAAGGGCTCCGAGGCCGTCTAAATCGTGTATTTCCATTGACAAGCAGTATAACCTGTTTAGACGGAGGCCGTGCCGGCCTTCAAAATCGTCCAGGTCCGCCGTCTTCCGAAAGACTCGCTCTTGCCGGGGGAAGCTAAAAAGGTCTTCAGTTTAGTTTCTTTTGCATCTTAGAGAGGCCTTTCATAGAAGAAGCATTGGATATAGCGAGTTTGAAGTCGTCGCGGCGAGCTCTCAGCGACAGAGCGAGTTTCTTTGCGCGGAAGCTTGCCACACCTCCCATCGAAGACGCCATTTTTTGGTGGGCGTCTCCATGGAAACACACACTTGGAAAATACGGTTTTTTGGAATCCACGTTTTACGCAATCTGATTGGTCAATTTGAATCTGCCGACGTCTAAATATGTTTTATGCATGGAGCTATTCGTTGTTGTTCATATGTGTCAACAACTAGGTAGCTAAGGTAGAAAGGCAAGGCAAACCTAACTAGTCAAGATGTAAGAGATACTAATGATGACAAGTAAATTGAAAATCCTGCGAATTTAAAAAAAGAGGCATATAGGGTGAATGTTTAATACTTCACCTAGGCAACAATATAGGGATTGTGTGATGGGGTTGGGGATGTCAGCGTAGTCAAATCTGTTCATTAACCATGCTTCATGTATCCCATCCCTATCTTTTCTCCCTTTCTTTTTATACCATCCGTATATGCCTCTTTTTTTAAATTCGCAACATTTTTATTTACTTGTCTCCACTCATTTTTATAATATACTACATTTGTGGAAGGGTAATACACATGCGCACCAAGTTTCACCTCCATGCGTGCTATAGTTAGCAAGTTTGAGGAGTGAAGAAGTAATTTTAAAGAAAAGTGCCTGAGGCTATTTGTTGTTGTGGTCGTCATGGAAATGATGTAATAGACATGCGCACCAAGTTTAACCTCCATGCGTGCCAAAGTTAGCAAGTTTGAGGAGTGAAGAAGTAATTTTAAAGAAAAGTGCCCGAGGCTATTTGTTGTTGTGGTCGTCATGGAAACTATGCAATACATATGCGCACCAAGTTTCACCTCCATGCGTGCTACAATTAGCAAGTTTGAGGAGTGAAGAAGTGGTTATAAAGAAAATTGCTTGACGCTTTTTCAAACAAAATGCGGTTGTCATGGAAACAATAGATCCCGTCGTCCGGGGCATTTGGACCAATGAAATGCGCGATACTGGGATCTAAATATAGGTTAGATGCGGAGCCGAGGTGACTACGCGTAGCAGAGTGCCGATGGCTCCCGAGCTGTCGGCGTCCCGAGTGCAGCGAGGGTGCTACTTGGGAGCCCGAGGCACTCTACCACGCGGAGTTACCGTGGCGACGCGTCTAACCGGTTTAGATCCATTGAAACTAGTGCGAAGATGGCAACACCAGGTGAGCTGTTCAGCGACGACATACTATCCTGTCTAGACTCCGAGAAGGAACTCGACCTACTCATGCTCGCCGCAAGCCAACAGTATGAATCCTCGAACGCTCCGCCCACAACAACAACCGACAACAGTGCGCGTGTGTCGACTACGAGACCCGCCCCCACCACAACCGCAGCGGTTCCTTCACGCTTCGCTCCACCGAAAACGAGTGAAGACATACAAAGAGGTAGACAGAATAGTATACCGACCAAAACAAAAGAGGACACGAAGTACTGCTACAAACTCTGGGAGAGTTGGCAGGAATACAGACAGTTGTTCAGCTCAAACCATCCCATGCCTACAAGACATGACACCAACTGAGCTTAACCAGTGGATAAGCAGGTTCGTGGTAGAGGCGGAAAAAAAAGATGGCACAGAGTACCCCCCAAACACTCTGCATCACATTGTTGCTGGTCTACAGAGGCACCTTCGTTTCGGAGGACGGATGCTTGACTTGTTTAAACACCAGAAATTCACAGCCTTCCAAGCTAACCTTGATGGGGAGATGAAACGTCTGCAGGCTAAGGGTCTTGGCATCAACAGACGTCAGGCTGAGGTCATCACCCCAGAGGAGGAGGAGACACTGTGGAGGCTGGACAACTCGGTGACTCAAATCCTCAGCAACTTCTGGACACCATGATATATTGTTGTGGCCTCTTCTTCGCGCTGCGGAGCGGCCGGGAACATCGGCAGCTATGACGCTCCCCACCCCAGATTCAGCTCATTGAACAGGCAGGGGAAAGAGCTTACTTGAAATACCAGGAGGACATCTTGAAGAACCATCCTGGGGGCTTGAAGGGTCGCAAGATCTCACCAAAAGTCGTCTACCATCACGCAAACCATGTGAATCCGGAGCGCTGCTTCGTGTGACTCTTCAAAAAGTACACCAGCCTCACTCCCCCAGATGCACCAGCTAATGCTTTTACTTGAAACCAGCCAAGACCCCAACCTTCACCTGCTGGTACTCCTGCCAACCGTTGGGGCACAATCCGCTTGGTAACACAGTTGCAAGACTCTGCCAGTCAGCGGGAATCTCCGGTTTCAAGACCACCCACTCCTTGCACGCCATGTCGGCAAGTCATCTGTACCAGTCGGGAGTCGAGGAACAACAGATAATGGAGAGAACGGGGCACAGGAGTTTGGAAGGAGTCCCCTCGTACAAAAGAACGTCGGACGAGCAGCGTGAGGCACTGTCAACTGTCCACCCACTTCCGGTCCTGCGAAGATCCCGCGAACGGAGCCTACACCAACACCCGCACCCATCACCTCCACATCCGTCTCCTCCGACACTCTACAGCTATCCCACGCTTACTTCAGCGGGTGTACAGTGAACTTTTATGTAGGCAAAAAGAGTAGCTAGCCATACGGCACAACAGTCTTATGAGCTGCACACGTGTATTATTCGTTATGTGCATGCTCCCCAATAGATCCTGTCGTCTGGGGCAGCGGGATCTACGGAACATAGATCCCGCATTTGGACCAATGAATTGCGCGATTTCAAATCACCGGGATCTAATGACACATGTCATCCCATTATAATGTATGCCTGGGGCTATCTGTTGTTGTTTACAAAGAAATAAGTATGACCAGTCTCTTCGGGTGATGGATATCTACATTCTTACAAAATTTCTTTACTTTATGTTGTTACGTTTTTGAGTTATGGGTGTTGAATCTGAAGAAGGAGAAGAAGATGAACAAAACTTCCTATCATAGCCCCATACATCTATGGTGCTAGGTACCATGCCCATCCCAATATACTGTATACTTAGTGATTTGCGTATGTCTACAAAGTTTCGGTTAGTCACTCCATTTTAGTGGGTACCTTACCACATTTAAAACTTGAATCCTACTACGCCAAGGAACAAGAAAAAACATTCTATGGTGTTAGATCGACAACTAGTGGGAGGCAATATAATCCTACATGTCCTGCTCCATATTCAGGCATGTCAGCTACATTAACATGAAACAGGATATGTAGGAATTTTTGGATTCCAAACTGGTGCCAACTAACACCGTAGTACGCATGCAACACACTTGCAAACGTTTGCACGAATTCGTGCATGACTTCTATTATAATGTGCATTTTACCGTGTCTATAGAAATGTATGGGACCCGAATTCATAAATGAATTACCTTAAAAATAAATGGCACCGTACCCATGAACTTTAAACAATGTGACAAGGTACCACCTTCATTCTGTTGCTAACAAAATTTTTTTACAAACAGAAATAATGTGCTTGTGCACTACCTGTCATGGATTCCAATCTTTGTGCAAAGTTTAAACTCTGTGTCTTACCTGGTTTTTGGGATGCACCTGTCTACACTGAACAACACCACCACACATTTTAAAACTGATCATGTGATATCTGAGAATTCAGATCAGACTGATAGTAAAAAGTGGGGTCTGATGAAACTGAAAATGAAATGTGCATTTCACAAGCATGATGCTGGATAAACTGTGTCATCCCTGCCGTACTTACTGATTTCCTTACCATTTTCTTGGCATGGCGTACAGCTGAAGCAATATCCTCACCAAAATTTCTACGCTGCTGCCAAGCAAGGTCATTAGCTGCAAACAAAAACACAATTCCCACTTATGTATACTGCCCTGATAGGGAGACAAGATAGGAGTACAAAACATGGTTTATGAACTGATTGTGTTCACACTGATATATACCTCTGAGTCCATTACACAATCCTTCTATTTTTGCTGGTGTGACATCTCAATACCCACAACGTCGAGGGGTCCGACATGGGCCGTTATGATGTACGAAATTTCTAATAGCCTGTGATTTCTAACCGATTTTTTTATTTCCACGTCATTTCAAATAATATTTCAACAAATATTTTCAGATTTCCGTTATTTCAAGAGATTTCCAGAATTCCGCGTCATTTCGACTGATTTAATAGTTCATAAAACAAACATGATAGCCAACTACATGTGCCATGACACAAACATTCACTTCTGTTCCCCAATGCCCATGACATAAATGAAAGCAACGTGGTAATAGCGCTTAAAGCAACATTATTATCTACGACATGGAGGCAACCAAGCCATGCTTTAGAGATTTCATGTGAAAACTATGAGGTAGAAAGGCAAAGGCACAACAAACAAATCAACTACACCTAGGACAGCTCTTTTTTTCCAAGGAAAAATAAAGAGCTGCCCTAGGTGGGATTCGAACCCACGACACTCTGCAGTCTAGGCGAGCGCTCTACCAACTGAGCTACCAGGGCAACTCAGCTGGTAGGGGTTCGAATCTACTACACAACACAACACTGCCTTTCTACCTCACAGTTTTCACATGCATATACTTGGCTTGGAGTTGGGCGTCATTGGTGGTTTAATTACCCCCGTCTGCTCCTACATGCTAAGTGAGAGTTTACTGTGCCATAGCACAGTGGTTGGAGGTTTGCCTTGTGTTGTGTTGTAGATTCGAACTCCTACCAGCTGAGTTGCCCTGGTAGATCAGTTGGTAGAGCACTCGCCTAGACAGCAGAGTGTCGTGGGTTCGAATCCCACCTAGGGCAGCTCTTTATTTTTCCTTGGAAAAAAAGAATTGTCCTAGGTGTAGTTGATTTGTTTGTTTTGCCTTTGCCTTTCTACCTCATAGTTTTCACATGAAATCTCTAAAGCACTGTTTGTGAAAATCAGACCACAGTAATAAAGCCGACATCATGGCAATGAGCATTGGTATACCCTACCTTCCCTGCCACGCTTTAGAAGGAGAGAGAATACAAATGCAAATATCCAACAATCCATACTACGTTCCAATGTCTTTGCATCCTTCAACACTGCTTGCTTCCAGAATGAGCAGGCTTCCTATGTACACCCTGCAGCACCTGATTTGTGACACAAATATAATCGCTTAGCTGCAACACTAGACCAGTCACGCCGAGGTATCTAAACGTTCAAAAGCACATTCGACGATTTGCCGTTGAGAGACACTGCCAGGCCAGTGCAGTAGCAGAAGTGTACGGTAACAACACAGGATATTGAATTGCCATACGCATTTCACCAGCCCACAATCTTTCTGTGACGTGTATTAAAAAACTATTCGACGGGTGTGCAAACAGTACGAACAAAGCCTTCTCTCTCGCAGAAGACCTTGGATTGAGGCTACGGTTTACACTGGCCAGTGGTTAATTGGATCAGAGAGCACATTTATGGCTTCGTTAAGGGAGGAATACATGTGAGTATGTGTATGTCTCAACAACTTGGTAGCGTGGTAGAAAGGCAAGGCAAGGCAAACAAGCCAACTACAGCTCTTGAAGAAGAGTTGCCCTAGGTGGGATTCGAGAACCCACGACACTCTGCAGTCTAGGTAAGCGCTCTACCAACTGAGCTACCAGGGCAACTCAGCTATTAGGGATTTCCAATCTACAACACAACACAACACAAAGGAACACCTCCAACCACTGTGCTAGGGCACAACACACTCTCACACAGTATGTAGGAGCAGACCGGGGTAATTAAACCACCAATGACGCCCAACTCCAAACCGAGTATATGCATGTCTCAACAACTTGGTAGCGAGGTAGAAAGGCAAGGCAAGGCAAACAAGTCAACTACACCCAATGCACAGCACGGCAGTTCAAACTGCCAGTTTGTGTGGTAGAAGAGCCAACGACCCTCCTGTGTATTTTGTTAAACAAAATCTTGACTACATCCACAAAAACTACTCTACAGGTGAAATGTACTACCTTGGTCTACCTTTTCACGTTTGACTAACAGCAATGTAAGAAGTCACAGCGTTACTTAAAGGTTGAGCAATCAAAATTCAAACAAAACTCTACTGAATATTATAGCACTTCAACAGAAATGTGCAAATTTTGCCACTCAAGAATACAGACCAGGAAGAACGCAAAACAGTACCATTAACACTGACCTTTGATTAATTCCATTATTGCATCATCAAAGCTCTCAAGTTCAGTAAGTGCCAGACCAAAAAAGAAGTGGGCCTTAATAAGATTTTGGTCCAGCTGTATCGCTTTCTGACAATCCTCAACTGCTAAGTTCCACTGGTTTAGCTTTATGTAACACAGAGCTCTGTTTGTGAAGTTGGTTGCGACATTAGGATGAGCCACCTGCAAAATCAGGATATGTACAGATTATTTTACACAAACTAGAATGAATGCAAAGCAGTTTGGCTAGTTAAGACTATTTCAAACGTACTTAGAATCACTGCCAGAATAAATGAAAAGTACTATAAAAAGTTCAAACCCTCGTCGCTAGGAACATGTGGTGTTGATGGGTACGAATGCACATTTAACAAGTAAATAAAAATTCTGCAAATAAAAAAATTGTGTAATATAGGGATGCCATAAAAAGCAAGGAGACAAGACAGGGATGACCTGAGCATGTGATGCAGTAGTACAATAGGATGATTGTTATGTACATCTTCAAACGGACATTTCTTGCTCATGTAAATTTTACTCCACACAAGCCCTATAAATATTGTCGCCACTCTTACTCATGACATGAGTTTTGAATAGTGTAGTGTGAAGACTGGCAAACGAATTCTGTAGGGAAAGCAGCATTGTAAAACCGGTTAGTTGAGCGAACATTGAAGTAAACACAGTCACGATTCAAAACTGAGGACCTGTCAGAGAGGGCATTACGTGCATAGGAAACGAGTCATAGCTGCACATCATACGATAGAGATCACTCATGCTTTGCGACAAAATAGGGCTTGTGTGGAGTAAAATTTACATGAGCAAGAAATATCAGTTTGAAGATGTAGCAATCATCCCATTGTACTACTGCATCACATGCCCAGGTCATCCCGGTCTTTTCTCCTTGCTTTTTATGGCATCCCTACATTCCACACTTTTTTAATTCGCAGAATGTTTTATTTACTTTATGTATTTATTGCCTCAGTCTGTTAGTTGTCATCTACATCTTTATTTCACTTCCAAAGTAGATAAGTGTACAAAGTTATAGGAAAAATAGCACTTAATTGCCTTAGGCTGTTTGTTGTTGTTTACAAAATTGTAATTCATGTTTCAATGACCTCTCACCATGGTACATCATCTGACTCTCTAGTGGACTCATAGCGTAGCCCATCAATTAGCAATACAGTGCATGCACAGTGCACCAAGGATTTAAAGTTTAGTACTTCTTATTCTTTGCAGTAATTAACCCTCAGCGTGCATGCGCAGCAAAGGTTATGGTACTTGGTTTTCATGGCCATGCATCTTGGTCAATGTGGCACACTCGGATGATGCAATAACGCACTTGGTTGCCTAATGCACTCGCCAGGCAACAGAGTGTGTTATTGCATCCTGCATGCACATTGAAACACTTAAAGTTAGCTAAGTGTGTTGTATATAAATATTAGGTATTATAATCTGTAAAACCAGGTAGGCAACAATAATATCACTAGACTTCGCAGAAGAACAGAGAGAAAGCATATTAGGGATGACCTGCACCCCATTGCCGCCTATTGGTTAATTATGTACAATATAATTGGTGTTTGTGCCTATAACTTGTACATTTGAAGGTTCCATACGAGTTGGTTAGGTGACAATTTTAAATGGGCTAAAATACTTGTGATTTATGTTGAATTTTGGTATTGTTCTCAGATTTTTCCGGCGAACAGCTCTTCGCCATTATGCACAGTGGCTTGTTCTCTGCCTCCGCTGGAAGGTCAACGAATACGTAATGACCACACCCATTTTTGTAATATTCCTACGTGTGCCGAAGAAGACAAAGTAGAAAGAATGCTACTGTGCATAATGGAGGTGAACCGTTCACTCCCAGGGGAGTCGCACACTGGTTCTCTCTCCTATAGAGAACATAGAGAAGAAATAATGCTAATCGAGTTTGTAAAACAAGGCTGAAAATTCCGTGGAAATACCTATATTATAAAAAAAAAGTCCCCAAACGAACTCTACCGTATCTCAAGTAATGGCATGAATACCAGCCAATAGCACTGGCTTACGGTAACGAAGTTACAACGGAGGGAGTCCTAACTCGTGTCAGACTCTCAGAGTGTTAGCTGATTCCTCTCATTAAACACTTTGGAGCAGAAGGGTTCAGGCGCAGTCTGCCACTTAGCGAGATTTAGATCACCCAGCCACTTCACGCGTAGGCAGGCTACTCTAGTCTAGCGCTAGATAGGGGCTGGCTCTGCGAAAACTAGGGGCTGCAACCACTTTTTGTACACTCACGATTGCCTTCCCATAATAGGTTCCTGCCAAAGAGTATCTTTTCTCGGCAAAAAGTTGATTTCCCCTTTCCCTGAAATCCGCCATTTACTACGTGTCCCCCGTGAGGCTGCAACAGCCGGGCAGGGTGAATAGGGGCAGGGTGAATAACTAGTCACGGGGTGCTATATAGGGGGCTTGGTTTTCCGCGCAAAGGGGGCGCGATTAACCTTCGGAGGCGCGCATGCTCAGCGAGGGTGACTTGCCGTGCCTTTTCTTGTTTGGCTTGCAGTGCATTAAAACCTTTGAACCTTTGACTGTCTGTTACCACGTTTTCTGCGACCACGCGCAACAAACAGGCCAAAAAGCGACACCAACGGGTTCAGCGCTTCACTGGCTTCATTTAAAACTGGCGATTTTCGTAAAAGTTCCGCGTTCAAAAGTTATGGCGTGAAAAGCAAGTGAACAAGCCAATATGCAAATTAGCGCAGGCTTGCCTCGGCCGCGTTCGCTCGCTCTGTGTATCTTGCAGGGCATGCATCGATTCCCGCATGCTATCTACTACTGCTATACCTAGCCCGTGTCAGACTCCGCGAGCTACTAGCGGGATACCACCTACAAAGCCCAGCCCATCAATTAGTGTCACCGCGCATGCGTAGTTCGCCGAGGATTTGCCCTTCAGTTCTTTTCTACTAGGCCGGCTACACCTTTCCTGCCTAAAGACACGTCGTACTGAAATTCTGATGACTTCATCGGCAGATGATGTTGGTGATGTGGCTGACGGTTTAGCTACATTAACCGTAGATGAAGGTTTGTGGAAAATAGTCGTAGAAATGAAAAGCGCCTGGTCGTCTCTGTGGTTTCAAACGTCCCACCCGTCAGCAAAGATTGAAGACTATATAGCTACAAGTAAATACAATTTCGCCGAGCTAGAATAATGATAGGTATTATGTGACAAAGCAAGGCAAGAAGATTATGACCAAGTGCATAGGTGTGGTTGATTTCTTTGCCTTTGCCTTGCAAGGGGTGTTTTAACGCTATAGGTATTGATGGTAATTCCACATTAAGTGTTTTATTGTAGCAGTCGTCCAACCTCCAGCGAGAGAAATGACGGTGTAGCATACTTCCAATGCACATGTATGTACTTGCTGGCTTCTCGAGCGAGTTTTATGTTCTCGAGGTTACCATATTGAACAAGGTATGATGGTGGCTCTCTGTCCCTCAGAGAAACTCGTTTTCATAGGTCGCTGGGCTGTTTGACCAGTCCGTGTGCCACGGCCGCAGTCACAGGGAGCAAGAGTGTAGAAGAGATAGCTAATGATGGTGTGTTTGCCTCAGCCATCCCTCGCCTCTACAGCCTCTACAGAACGGTCATCCCTTGCCTCTACAGCCTCTGCAGCACCGTTTTTGTCAAGACTCTGTGTATGATGCTGATGCTAGTGCTAGCGACCCCATCACGCAATCCCTATAATTATTGTTGCCTCGGTGGTCCGTACTATCATTCTATGCATGACTTATGGGAACTCGGGTTGTGGTCTCAAGACTCATACAGCACTCCGCTGCGCCTCGTGTTGTACGAGTCTCTCAACCACATCTCCTCATTCCCGTAATTCATGTATAGAACTCTAAACCCACATTATCTATTACATAATGGGAAAAAGGTTGCCTGCTGTCGTTTACAAACATGTGGTCACCTGGAAATGAAGTAATACACAGATGTATCAAGATTCGTGCTACCATAGGAGTGAATTAAAGAAGTGCCTAAAGCTATTTTTGGTGCCTGGGGCTGTTCGTTTATGTGGTCGTCATGGAAACAATGTAATACACATGGTACCAGGTTTCATCTCCATGCGTGCTACCATTAGCAAGTTTGAGGAGTGAAGAAAAGTGTCTCAGGATATTTGTTGTTTTTATTGTTGTGTTTCAGATGTTAGTGACTGAATACATTATTCATACAAACTTTCATTCACACAGCTCTTACCATTATTTGTGAGTTACGGTTACACTGACTTATTGTATATATGACCTTTCTTATGTATTGCCTATGGGTTGTTTACAGTAAAAAACATCGTTTACAAACAAGTAAGTACCCACAGGCTGTTGGTATTACAGAGATATATGTTCCTACAAAGTTAATGTCCATACATCATGAGCCTTTCGTCTTAAAGAAGAAGATGACGATGAACAAAACTCTATCTTAGCCGCATACATCTATGATGCTAGGTACCATGCCCATCCCTATATACTAAGTATCTACTACCGTACTTAGTGATATTGTCGCCGAAATGTGACTGTGACTCAACCAACTAATATACAAGTGTTGCCCCCTTTTACCGCTGTTGGTTTTTAGTTGTAACTGTAGTCTAAGACTTTCAAGTTCACCCAACTACCCACTTTTACAATGTTGCTTTCTTAAGAATCCCTTTACATATGGTGTATGTTCATTTGCTAACGGTTCCGCCCATTGCTCTGGGTGCGTGGTCTGTGGCTCTAGTGCTATGGCAGCCACCTGAGTATTATTATTATTATTATTACACACTTTACATCATTGATTCATATTGTGAGTGGCAATAATATACTAAAGTGATTGTGTGGAGGAAATTATGTGTGTAGTTTTGCAACTGTATCACATGCACTGTCCTGTCTTCTTGCTTTCATTATTAACCCTCGGCGTGGATGCGCAGCGAGGGTTACGGTACTTGGATCGTGAGTGTGTGTGTGTGTGTGAGTGAGTGAGTGTATCTGTTTGTTCGTCTGTTACCACGTTTCTGCAATTACGCGCAACGAGATAACGAAATAGCGACACGAACAGGTTCATCGCTACACTGGCCTCATTTTTAAAAAGGCGATTTTGATATAACTTCTGCGTTCAAAAGTTATGGCGTGAAGGGCAAGTGAACAAGCCAAAATGCAAATTAGCACAGGTTTACCTCGACGGCGTCCGCTCGCTTTTTGTATCTTGAAGGCACAAGAAGTCACAACGAAGGGCATGTATCGACTCCCGCATTCTATCTACTACTGTAGCTAACCCGTGGCAGACTACAAGCGGATACCACGAGTAAAGGCATACTAATAGCCCAGCCCATCAATTAGCCTTGCCGCGCATGCGCAGTTCGCCGAGGGTTAGTACTTTTCATTAAAATGTGTGTTGTGCAATAAAGGGGATTATTTCCGTGCATAAGGCCCAGAACGAAGTAGGATTGTTTTTTCCGTAGACAATTTTTCACCGTTTCCATGATAAACTTTTACAATTTCATTAACCCTCAGTGCGCATGCTGAGCGATGGTTATGGTACTGCGTCTGTGTTTGTCAGCAGCTATTCTTGCATTACAGTGTACGCAGTGGCCTATGAGCGATATCAACTGCTTCAGAACTATGCGAGCCCGAAAAATACAATGTCCATTTGTTTCTGAAACGACTGTGTTCAAGAGATATCCGTGAAAACATTCCCTCATCTCTTTCAACTTGTTTTGTTCTTCGCATGAGCTGCTCACTTTATAGTATACCATGCCCATCCTCTACACTAAGTACTACTGTACTTGTGTTATTTGTTAATACTGTTGTTCACAAGAAATGAGTTTTAATGCATTTTTTATTTAGAGTCTGCTGATGACGGGAGTGAGGCAAAATTACTCTGCTGTGTATGCCAGGAAGAAGCCGAGAATGCTGTTAAGCTTCCCTGCTCTCATATATTTTGTTTCTTGTGTGTTAAAGGTGTGGCTGCAAGAAACCGTGTATGTGCATTATGTCGAAACCCAATTCCAGTGGACTATCTTGAAAACCCAAGTATCGTTAATTGTGGTGCTCTATGTGCTAAACTAAGTTTGAATTCAAGAAGTTACCACTGGTATTATGAGGGCAAAAGTGGAGGTTGGTGGATGTACGAAGATAGGACATCAGATGAGATAGAAAAGGGATTTGTAACTAATGCTAAATCGATCAAAGTACGAATTTCAGGTTTTACATACGTGGTTGATTATGAAAAAATGCTGCAATCAAGAGAAGATCATCCAGATCGTCAGAGGAAGATAAAACGAGATATCTTGGAAAGCAATGGAATCAAAGGCATTGCTGGAATATATTTTGATGGGATGAAGTAGATAGTGTGGACAATGATGCTATTTATAAACTGTTAGTGTATGTGCATCAACTGTGGCTTGTTCCTCCAATGCTTCTGACAAGTGATGCACTGCATGTTGAAATCTGTGATTACTCTCATACTGTATGGCTTCTCCGCGTATGTAATTGAAAGTCTACTGTCTCCACTGTCCCACTGTTACTGCTTTCTCTACCATCACTACTGTCATTGATAGTCATCACCTACTGCAAGCTGCATATCACCAGCGTCCCGAGCGCAGCGCACGTAGTTTCCCAAAGGCGACGCGTCTAACCGGCTTAGACTACAGCGCAAGTTCGTCCCGCTTCAGTGTCCGTTGAAGGCGTTGCTGCCCTTCGGGATCGCGCCGCCCGGCCGTGTGTACGCGTTTTCCCTGTACGCTTCCTGTAGCGTCTCTAGTAGTCATGCGCTGCTGCTAGAAGAGCCAGTTCCTGGTTTCTTCGTGGGAAGAACAGCTCAAGAAGCTCGGTTCACCGTACGCGCGCGTGGTGTCTTTTCGAATTGAAGGCGGGGTTGCGCCACTAGTCACCGCTAAACTCGCGCGTGTTACCGTAGTCGGAGTATGTTTGCGCGTTCAAATGGGTAGCAACAAGCCAGCAACAAGCCAGCAACTCTGCGCTCATTGGAAGAAGACGCTTTTTTTACGTGTGAGATTTTGGAAATGATGTCCGACTCCGAGGAGACAGTGTCGACAGAGTTATGGAGTAGCCGCTAGCGACTCGACACAGGAAGCCACGCCTTCTAGTAGCGCAGCGCGCAAACGAACCGGACACGCCGAGTCGTCACGTTTTGCGTTTCAGGTAAGACATCGCGTTACGCTTAGTTATGCAAGAGCAATCTTTTTTTTTAACGCAAACTTAAACAAGTGTAGGAGTAAAAGAAAGAAAAAACAAAAACCAAAAAACCAAAAAAAACAAAAAACAAAACAAAACAAAAACACTACATATCAGAGGGAATATGTCCCTCTGCAGCGGCAAGTTCAATGTTGAGCTCAATGACTGGGCGGTGGCGAGAGGATCTACTTCCTCGAATGCAGAGGATAGCAGATCGGAGTATAGCGAATGATAGGCGGCAGCGAATCCAACCCATGACTACAGAGTATTGCTTGTCCTGCTTCCGGGACAACTCATCAGCCAGTCTTTTGTAGAATGTCGTGGCTTCACGTGCCATACCACCAGTAGTTGAGAGGACAAGTGGTGTAAAAACCCCATGTTCAACTTCTCGAACTCTTTGGGCATATTCTCTCTTCTTTGCTGTTTCGTGTTTGCGATATGCTGCTGCAGTGGTCATCGAACGGTTGCTTGACGCTTTGGGGTGGAAAACCCTAACATCAAAAAATGCGTTTGGCCAGTGTTCCAAAAACCACGAGCACGGATATCTAGGCGAGCGTTGGCATCAGTGTTCGCTGTGCGGTGAGGGAAAGATTCGTTGGTAAGTGGTTGTAGGAGTGGCTCGGTTGCAACATTATGGCAGATTTCTGTGAGTAGGTTGGCCGTCATGTCACGAATCTCAATGTGGCGGATTGTTGGTATGCCGCCCATATGACAGATCATGGCAATCTTTCGCTACAATGACCGCAAGAAGCGTACCGCGCTAAGTCCAAGCGTAACGCAACGTCTTACCTGGAACCCACAAAAGACTCGGCGTGGTACGCCGTTTCGTCGTAATATTGCGGCATGTCTGAAGACGTCTTACGTGTCTGACATGGCGTCCTATAAATCATCCGGTAGTCCCGTTGATATTACCCGTAAAATACCGTCATTCAGTGACGTCTTCTGTGCCGGACGGGACGTCTCATTTATTAGCCGTCATATTACGCCTAGAATATTACGCCGTAAGAAATCTACGTTTAGCGTTCCATAAGGGCGCGCAGCGCCCGAGGGCCGCCGAGTGATTGCGTTCGGGTCCCGGTTCGTGTTTGCCTGGCAGTAAGGCGGTGCAAATGTGTAACAGGTTTCACCCGCCCACGTCCTTGCCTTGCATTTTCATACAAACTTTAGAGCCAGTGTGCTCAACGTGACTCACCTTACTGCTAGAGGAAAGGGCAAACGACGAAAAAACGCCTGCGCGTCTCAGCAATTTGACCTTTGACCCTGCTCGTTGGTGTTACGCATTGCACTGGCCAAGAAGGAGTAGCACAAGTTTTGATCCCGCGCTTGCGATTCTAGGTTAGAGTCTGTTGTTATACGCTAGTGGGAGACTTGGATCCTGAAGATAGATTTTTCAGGTTGCGGACCCTACCTATTCATAACGTATATCCTTAGCCCTATCCCCTAGCCTTATTTTCTATCCCTAGCCCTAGTCCCTAGCCATCGGCGGACCACCCCAGCATCTCCATAGATATCGCGCGGCCACGCCCATTCATTTACAACGCGCGCGGTGCCGTTCTTCCTACCTGATCCCGCGCCATCCCTTAGGAAGTTGACATAGGAAGTTGATATAGCCCTCGCTGCGGTTATTTCGCCCTGCGTGGCGGCGCTTTTCATCCACCCACGCATGACGACATAAAGGGAGGCCACACCAGGGCAGCATTGCGTGATGGGGTCGGGGATGTCAGCGTGCTCAAATCTGTTTGTGAACCATGCTTCATGTATCCCATCCCTATCTTGTCTCCATTATACCATCCCTATATGCCTCTTTATAAATTCGCAGGATTTTGTCTTACTACTACATAGTCAACATACGTACGTTCAAAGAGAGAATGGAGCAGTTTGTAGTTGTGCGCATGCGTATAGAATGCGGGACGCGACGGCGCGTGAGCCTTGGAGAATGTCGGAATCTTGGAAAAAGTGTGCTCCTCGAAGAGTATGGAGAACTGTGTCTCCGCGTGGCAAAACTCCTGGTGGGGTTGCATTTGTCAATAACGATGTGGAGGAACTCCGTCAAAGAAGGATTGAAGCTCACCTGCGTGGTGTTATGAGCCCCAGTGGTCGGCCCGCCGCTTTTGAAAGGTTTGCCCCGAGTACTTTTCGGCCGTTATACTCACGCAGTGCTGTAGTTATAGGATCTCACGTGTTGTGTCGTATTACTAATGTTGTTGTGCAGCCATGTGCATGCCTTGCATGTGAAACTGCACTTATATATATCCTTATGACAAGCAGTGGTGTTTCCAGCATTTGCGAATTGCTTGTAAAAACCGTGCTTCCTACACCCCATCCCTATCTTCTTTCTCTCTCCTTTCTTCTCTTATGGTCGGCAATTAATACTAGGCTTGCAGTTGAGTTAGCCCACTGCTTTACTATAGGTGAAGCCTTCAGCCTGAAGCCTACAGTTTTAATGATGTGGGCATGGCTAATATGCATAGGCTCCAACTTTTCCGGAAGAGCTTCAGGGACCATGACCACACCCCTATGACCACACCCATTTTTGTTTACTTGCGCATGCGCGATTTTCATGTTAGTGTTCGTGCGGTAGTGCATTCAAAATAATTATTAATTGGAATTCTGCACAGCCAATGTAGTTTTCTTTCAGCTAGTAAGAAGTTGTTCACTAAAGAGTGTCATGGCAGCATTCTTTGCTGTTGAATTTGATCGTCATCAAGGCAATAAGTGATGACTGGTTAAGACTTGGACATTGGTCGGTGTGGATTTTCTGAAGAATAGAAAAGCCTCTTTCAGAATCAGCATTTGATGACGGAATTGTCGTTAGTCCTGTCATTAGCTTGACCAGAAAAGGAAACCTGGAGTCTCCATCATTTCATCTTGCTGACTTAATTCCAGAACTGTCCAGGCCTGGGTTTTTCATCACCTGTAGCTGATTTGTATGTTTCAGCAGTAGGAAGCACTGGAGAAAGCTGAAAGTCCATAAACTCATTTCTCAAGGCATCAATTGACTGGGAATCTTCTAAACCCAGTTGTGGAAAAAGACTTCGCAACTGTACTAAAAGTATAAGTACATACTTGATCTGGATTAATGATTCCTAAATCTTGCAGAATAAATCCCCAAAAGGAAACTTTTAAAGCATCTTTTGCAAAGATGCTACGCAAAAGCTATGTGCAGCTTGATAGAATGGCTTGGGATCAAATTCTTCCTCCATTCGAGAAATAATTATATGCGCAAGTAGTGGCACCTAACCCCAAGGTTTCATCTGCTAACTGATCTCGTTCAGCAAAGGTCAGCTTACTAAGAGCATCACCCACCGAAATAATAGACTCAGGTATCCAAAGGTTGCTAGCATATATAAACGAACCTCGGCATTTCAGTGTATAGCTGGTACGTAGGTGGTACTTTGTGTAGATTTATCTGTTAAATTTGTCCATCGATGGGAGAATAAAGGAAAGAAATATGAGAATTGGTTTGTAAGGGGGTCTTCCAACCGTTGAAAGATATTAACTACCTCAGCCTCAGGACATGAAAGAAGGAAAGACCTCAGACCATCAAACTGAGCAACGTAGCGACCAACGCAGCGTAAAAGACTGAGCCATCTGGTAGGACAGTGCTTAAGAATGGTCTGTGGTTCAGAGGTGAAGAGAGAGCACCAGAGGTCACAAAATTCCTGCTTCCTTTTACTACTGTGATAGAAGTAATAAAACACGTCTATGAATGGTTGGTCTATATCAACCGGAAGTGCATGCATCTCGGCCTTAACAGCAAGATGTGCTAAATGACAGATACAGGGTACATCCAGCACATGAGGGCACTCATTCCTGATTACTTTTTGCATCCCAGATCTTGCACCCTTCATGACATTAGTTGTGTCTGACGTGAAGGCTAAACATTTACTGAAATCCAAGCCATTACTGCTTAAGGAGAGCTTAAGAGCATCAAATAGATTTCGTGCTGTGCCAATGTTAACTATTGGCATATCTAAGAATCTAACACTTGAGTCGAAGACATGAACTATCATTATTATGCATTATGGAGAAACAATTTGACATATCGTGAAGGGTGTTGGCAAGACAGTGAGGAGCTAATAATAGTTTCTGTTTTTGTGTGGCCTCAAGCAAATTTTTAGCTATTCTGGAAACATTGTGCGAAAGAGCTTTGTTGCATGATCACTTGTTTGAAATGAAAGATTATGTTTAGCCACAAAAGAGGACCACAGGGATTCAGGTTCAATAACGCTCTGTGGAGTTTTTGGGCGGAGGAAAGAAGTCACTGACCTTGAAGGATCTAAGGCCTTAACCATATCATTGTGATGTTTTCCCTGTACATGAGTGGTCACATCATTACTTCCACCATGAGAAATGCACAATAAGTGCACCGTACATACGTGTTACCTGTAGCGATAGTTCATGTATGCTGATAGTACTAGCTAGCTTCTCGCCTTTGGAACTTCTTCCAATACCTGGGAATTCTTTGACCCCGTTACAATCAAGGTGGCAATGTCTTTTGGTTTAGGTAGGCTCTCAGAACTGGCCGCCATAGCTTGCCTTACAGCTGGTTGAGACTAATAGCTGTAGCTAAGCATTAGTACGAGCGAGCTGTGGTCACTCGCTGGAACAAGCTACCTGTATATACCTGAGATATTTACATCTCCAGGATGAATGTACGATGATGTATATACGGTGGCTTGTTGTGCAGGTCTCGACGTATAACACATCTAACCCGCCCTGCCCCCCTAGCCCCGTGCGCGTGCGCAAGTCGCGAGATCGCCGGAATCCGGGAATTATAGCAAAGCCTTCTGGGACCAGGGACAAATTCGACAAATGCGGGACAGTCCCGGAGAGTCATGGACAGTTGGAGCCTAGGAATGTGTGCCAAGAACTGTGCGATGCTGCAAGGTTAACATACGCAGTGTGTAGAATTATCTTTTTATACTTACAATTTTGCTGGCTGTCATCTCCCTGCAACACTTGATTCAAGGGCCCTATGCTCATGCACGTAGTGTAAACATCTAATAATTTGCATCATTTTTTGATAGTACAAATATTTTGGCTGTTCTTATATGCACTTACATGCCTTTTCTTATGAGTCTTCTAGCTCTTTGTATCTCCTTTGTAATGTCTGCTTGTACGGTCGTATTAGTCCATCATATTGCATTCATAGTTACTTTTTAGTAGTTAAGTTCTTTTCAGTTAGTGCATTACTTCTCTTTAGTGCACGCGGAGGAGTGAGTGTCCTCTCAAATGCACAAATTGCTGAACATTATGCAGACTGTATTAAACTGTCAACAGAAAATGTAAGCCAACTTTGTGTAGGAGTTCATTGACATTGATGAATTATGATTACTGGTTTCCCTATTACGTATATACTGTAAGAACTAAATGCTCCCAGAATAAGGTCTCAAAACACCTAAATTCAAACTTTATTCGGGGTTCATACCCCCCAGGCCCTTCTGTATATACCTATCCTTAATCATGCAGATCACGTACAAGTCTAAAATCCATGTGCACTCTAGTTAATACTACTTGTGTTTGGTGTATACCTTCATAACCTGAATCATTTCCAAATTGCTATATATACTGTTTAATTGAGAAGCAATAGCCACATTTTCGGTATACAGGCGTTGCATTGTGTGGGGAAGAAAAAGTACTGTGCAGCTGGCAGTGCCTGTATAACTGTATTGTGCACTGTGTTAGGTAGGATTTGACAAACTATATTGTTTCATCCTGAGTGGAGACCGGATATTTTGAGGCAATATAAAGAGTATATGTTTTGCACTTAGCTGTTGCTGCATGAGGTAGTACAAGAGCAGGTGTCATTCGTTGTGGCTTTCCACCAGTAATTTAGCACACTCATTTTCCCCCAGAAAATCAACGCAAGAAATGCATTTGGTCTTCATTTGATTGACTATATGCTTCAAATGTTAATGCAATACGGAGAATTGGAGAATTTTCAGGTGAGTCTTACAGGTTCCAGAATTTGTTAGTAACATATTTTTTTGTAAAAGGTTGCAGGTTGCACACTGGATGCAGGAGCGAAAATATATGCAAGCAGAGTTGATTCAATGTATTCTGAAGCATATAAAATCCTTGGAGGAATATTAGTGAATGAGACTAATGACAAAGGTGAATTGTCTTTTTACTAAGATACACTTGTGGGCCTCAACTTCCTTACAAAAACACTTGTCTTGTGCACATGTAACTTAAGGCCACCTTCTGTACTGTATGCATGTGTCTTCTGTGCCTCTCTATTTTATTGTTAACCCTCGGCACGCATGCGCAGCGAGGGTTACAGTAGTTGGGTTTGTCTGTCTGTCTGTCTGTGTGTCTGTTACTCTTCATCTCACTTCTCGAGTGCTCTCACAAAGGATACCACCTACCAAACGGGCAATGAAGGTCAGCAATTTCGAACGGTTTTCTCTGAAAACGCTCCGTTGCAAAGCTAGAGCGCTTACACCGTTGTACGGCTAATGCGTAGTCGGCCATTTTTATCGCTGCGGAAATGCTTATATTTAGCACAGGACCGGGTCTTCTTGCTCTGTGTATTTTGAAGGCACAAGAAGTCACAACGAAGGGCGTGTATCGACTCTCGCATGCTAATCTACTACTGTAGCTAGCCCTTGTCAGACTCTGCGAGCTATATACTAGCGGGAGACCGCGCATACTAATATACCGCGCATGCGCAGTTCGCCGAGGGTTTGCACTTCAGTGCTTTTCATTTTGGAAGTAATCTCTTTTCCAGTTGTATCAGTAGTTTGCTACTCCATTATTTAGTGATAACCATTATTATTGCACTCGACATGGGCTGCCCCAGGCAAAGCGTTATGCACGTAATTTTGAAGTAAACTCATGTGTGGTATGTTCTGCCACGCCCTTTTCACGAGCCGTTTTTGTGTGGGGAAACTGAAGACCAGTTTGATGATACATGACAGACTTCTTGGGACAGCTTTGCTTTTGTTGTTCCCTTTGGGACTCGATCTTGGAACATTAGTATATATGTGCATGCCCTTAGGAAAAAATTGAACATATTCAGACCGATCAGTTTCAATTAATTAAACCATGGCCCTGCCCAAGTTTGAAGCTAATTGCTAATACTCAGGTGGCTGTCATAGCACTAGGGCCATAGACCACACACCCAGAGCAATGGGCAGAAATTAACAAACGAACATACACCATATGAACATGAGGTGTCTGTCTCACCTCCTAGACACCTCAACTCACCCCTTCCACCAGTGACACCCTGCTGCTCCCCAGACACAATCTGAGACTGGGTCTGTTGTACGCTGGGGTTATCGCCGTATAACCTACCCTTTCTTAGCTCCCAAACATCCGAAATAAAACCTTTAACAAGGCGAAGCAAAGAACCAAATTTATCCTCCCACAGCTCACTACCCAATATGAATGAAAAGCACTAAAGTGCAAACCCTCGGCGAACTGCGCATGTGCGATACCGCTAATGGATGGGCTGGGCTATTGCGTTTACTCGCGGTCTCCCGCTAGTAGCTCGCGTAGAGTCTGACATGGGCTAGAAACGGTAGTAGATAGCATGCGGGAGTCGATACACACCCTTCACTGTGGCTTCATGTGCCTCCAAGGTACACAGAGCAAGCGGATCTGGTCGAGGTGAGCCAGCGTACGTTGATCGTGTCTAATATACGCATGCGCACCGCTTATTGATGGGTTGGGCCACGCAACGCTGTCCGCGAACGTGCTAGTTTGTCACTCTCGAACGCAGTCGTTTCAGCAAAATCGCCATTTAATTTTTCTAGCCCATGTACCACTAACGCTGTTGGTATCGCTCATAAGCCGCCTCGTAGCCTGTAGTGCGAGAATAGTCGTATACAGACACACAGACAGACAGACAGAACGACTACCGTAACCCTCGCTGCGCATGCGCGCCGAGGGTTAATAAAGGATGCTTTTCTGAAACTATCAAGCGACTGGAAATGCTCAAACCCATCATCCCCAAGCTTCCCCTGCAGGGCAACTAAGAAATTGCTCCTAAAACTACTATATGCTGGACACTCCCACAACACATGACTCACACTTTCACACTCATCATCACACAACAGGCACTCCTTCATCCCCACCCTCCCCCTATGCCTACCCAGTTCCTCATTTAGCCCATGCGTTCCTGACCTGAACTTAAACATTAATCTAGACCCAGCATCACTTTTACCATGCGAGTACTTTTTGAACTCTGCCACCTTGTTGTCTTATGCAATAAAAACTTTACTTTGTTATTTTACCCCTCTTCATACTTTCTAACCTCCCTCTCATTAATACTGTCCCCCACTACAAAAAGAAAGCCCTTCAAGGGGCAATCCCCATTTTGAATATCATGCAACCACTCTGCCTTGTCAAGACCTAGTGACGAAAAGAGATGATCAATGACCGTAATCCAACACTTCCTCTGCCTGCCTCTCCGTGGCTTAAAATTCCATTCCTGATTAAAAAGGTTCTTCAGATACCTCTTGCCTGGCAATGCCGCTAACTTATACCACCACTTCAACTTATTCTTATCCCTACGCCCTTGTAAAGTATCAAGCCCCATATCCTCCCTAACGGCTTCATTACATGTCTTAGACGAACACCCAAGAATACGCTTAGCTCCTCCCAGCATAACGGACTCTAACGCAGCTGCCTGAGTCTTATTGGCTTCCCTCACCTCACCGCCATACTCTAAAGTTGGCCTAACCACCACCAGCAACAACAACCTGCGAGCGCTCAAATTAATATCCCTATTACTAATTATGCTATGCAACTGATTAACCTTCCTTCTACCATTGTCTAACACATTCTTGATATGCACATCCCATGCACCAGTATTAGTAAAATCAACACCCAAGTATGTGTATTTAGATACTCTAGGCAAAACATACTCCCCCCATTTCCAAGCACCATCCACTGACTCCCTAGCGAACACCATCACTGCACTCTTACTCACATTAGCATTTAGCCTCCTTTTTCGACAGTAGGCATGCACCACATCTTTAAGCGTCTGTAACCGAACCTTAGACTCATAACACCAACGAAGTCATCTGCAAACAAAAGTCCTCCAAGTCTCCCACCACTACTTTAATCGATCCAAATCTCAGCTTCCTCTATCTCCCTCAACAACCCATTGATAAATACAGAAAACATGAAAAAGCACTGAAGTGCAAACCCTCGGCGAACTGCGCACGGGCGATACAACTAATTGATGGGCTACTCTTTTAGTATGCGTTTACTCGTGGTATCCACGCTAGTAGCTTGCGGAGAGTCTGACACGGACTAGCTACAGTAGTAAATAGCTTGCGGGAGTCGATACACGCCCTTCGTTGTGACTTCTTATGCCTTCAGAGCAAGCGGCCCGGTCGCGGTCGAGGTAAGCTCGTGCTAATTAGCATTATAACCGCATGCGCATTTTCCGCAGCGATAAAAATGGCCGACAAGCATTAGCCGTACAATGGCGGAAGTGCTCTAGCTTTGCAACGAAGCATTTTCAGAGAAAACCGTTCGAAATTTCTGACCTTCATTGCCCGTTGAGTAGGTCGTATCGTTTTTGAGACGAACAGACATTCGAGAAGTGAGATTGAGAGTAACAGACACACAGACACACAGACAAACCCAACTACAGTACCCTCGCTACGCATGCGCGCCGAGGGTAAAAATTGGAGATAAGTTACATCCCTGAGCTACCCCCTGTTCCCCCTGTGAAGCTAATTGCTATTGTGTGGACAGACAATGTCTGTCTTTTGGCATTCTTACACATCTTTTGGGGACTACGTAAATGCTCTAAAAAAACGTACCCAGTTGGGCACATTGTCGGGGGGTATTTTTCCTTGATTCTGAGTGCCCTTTATCTGAGGTTAAGCAATTACGACTACGTACAATGAGATGTGACTAAATTGAACCGAACGTGGGTCCAAATTTCAACAAATGCTCATACATACAAATCAACCAGATAATCTTTTGCTCGCAATTCTTAGGCCTTGTTCGTGATTTGCTTTTACATACATATTTTTAACCCTCAGCGTGCATGCTCAACGAGGGTTACGATACTTGGCTTTTAAGTCTCTCTTTTGGTCTGTCCATCTATCTGTTTCTCCTCACTTGTTAATCTCGCATCTCAAGCTATTATAAATGCAAAAATAAAAGTACTATAGTATTGGCTATGACAAGTTAATCAAAATTTTAAAAAGCTGTTTTCTCTTACCTGAAAAGTTAGAGCGTGTTTTGTTTACCGTGGCAAGGTTTGCTTTTACAACTGAAACGCATGTGGTTTCGTCATAGCTGTGCTTAGCGCATGAGCTTTCACGGACACGCACACACGGGCATCAGTGGAAGAGCAACCTTGCACATACAGCCTAGTTGCCAGTAGTTGGCCCAGTAGTCTAAACCGTCAACTTCTATAAATGAGCGCACCATCCATTGTCGCGGGATTTTTTGAGCCATTTTTTACAGCTCTCAAATCCTAATTTTTGGAAATTCGAGGTGTGCTAGCTACGTATTATTATTACAGCTACACTACACGCTACAATTATAATATTATAGCGCTGATTGCTACTAGCTTTTCATTTGTCCTGTAAAGAAAGTCAAAGAAATGATTGTTATAGGTTGCCCCATGGCTAAGTAATTTTTGTAATTCTTACAAGAGAGTACTGTGTTTTGTTCACATTTCATTGTCTGTTTTAGTGGTGTTAAGTGAGCAACATTAGCTAAAGTGGGAATCAGTAGGATTTGGCATGCTGCCTGATGAAACAGAGGACTTGTTCCGTATACAGATCAACCTGAAAATCCAGTTCATCATATGAAAGAACAGAGTAGGAAGGAGGTATGTTTTCTTGTGTCTCTGTGTGTTCTGAATGATGCCGACTAGTAACGATAAACTGGCTCTGTTGAAGTCGTCCACGTGGCCTTTCCCGTCCCATCAATAATATGTGCATATGCACATACACATCAACACTCGACTCGTGTGCACGTTCCTAGCACCGACGGTTTGCACTTTATCCTTTTCTTTTTTTGCCTTGGGCTGTTTGTTGTAAGGTTTTAAAGAACCCTTATGAAAGTATCGCAATTGTGTATTGGCACAATACTGAATAACCATTAACAATATTTTTTTAATTGTGACCAACCAAATCGTGAGTATAAAGATGTTGAAATCAGTTCAAAAACCATGATCAATGTATCCCATTGTTTCTCTTACTTGTTAATCCATCCCTAATTTTAAACAAATAGGATTTATTTGCTTGTATACCAAGTATGGCTGTACTTTGTAACCCTGCATTCATTCAACCCATAGCTTTGTATAGGTAATAGTGCAGTTTGGTGTGGTATTAGGGATTAATAGGGATGGCATTTTTCAAAATAGTATGAGGCGAAGCCAAATACTATTTTGAAAAATTCCACCCCTATTAATCCCTAATACCACACCAAACTGCACTATCACATGTTAATAGTATACAATATGCATGAAGGACAGCATTATAATAATCATGAGAGGTGATTGGTGATGTGTATAGCTATACTCAGTCATCTTCATCTGATTCGATAAACACTCTTCTCTTTTTGGGAATACATTCCGATGATTGTTGCTGTTGGTCATTGCGTGCGCATATGTTTACTGTGCAACCAGTGAAAACAAATGCTGGTCGGGAAGAATTCTGGCTGTCGTGGAGGGAGCTGAATATCAAGTGCCGATGTAGGAGGTTCATGTTGTCGTTGGTCCTTGCTGATTATGTGGCTGATACTCTGGTGGTCATCCAAATCAGTAGCCGCATAATATGCAATGCTCTGTTCACTCTTGTGTCCTGTTATTGCTGTAATTTTATCGTTTGAGATACCACCCTTTTGCAGTTTGCGGACAAGTGTCTTGCGAACGCTGTGATTTGTGTAGCGTTTTCCTTTTCCACTCAAACCTGCTTTTTCTGCAATAACCTTCATGAATTGTTTAATCTTTGCTTCTCCAACTGGCTGTGTAGAGTACCATAATGTAGGCTTAGGTTTCCTGAGTGGTCTCAAGTAGAGGGAACCAGTCATACGGCTCTCTGCCGGGCGCACTGATACGAGTTTCTCTAGCATGTGCACTGGGCATCTTTCCGTGCCAGTAGGAAAGACTCTGAGCGACTCGCCTGTGTGATTTAACCAGACCTCCTTGCCTTGTCTTCGTTAGACCCTCTGTCCACTCCACATAGTGGATATCAGTAGAGCCAGCTTTTCGAACGAAACGGAAATCATCCAAGCGCATTTGCAGGTGTTCTTGTACTCCACGAGTTCCGAAATGTTGGCTTAGAGTGTAAAACAGTGTGTAGTTCAGAGAATCTGGTGCATGTTCACCCAGTGCCCCACTATTCCAAAGCAGCTCTTCTTCTTCTGCAGTCAGCGGGTCGGCTTTTTCCGCTTCCTCCTCCCACTTTCTCGTAATTCGATCGCCTTTCCGTTCAGCACGAGACGACTGCGTTCGAACGCCTTGTCTTTCAAGAGGCTGAAATCGGCATCATTCGCTTTAAAATAACGGTCAAGAGCTGCGAGCATTGTCCGGAGACTGTCCGGTTCGTAGTCGGTTCCATCCTCTTTTCTAACTTCGGCGTAGAATTGCTGCAGTATTTCGTCTAACCGCTGTTGGTCCAGCTGCATTAGCTCAGCTTTAATTCCTCGCTCCGCCTTCCATTTCAACAGTCGATTAGCCCAGGTATTCGTGGACCTCTTCGTGTTACTGTTGACATTCTTATTGAGTAACCGCTGTAGCTCGGCCATGGACGCTGTACCGAAGTTCCCGTGCTCACGAAACTCGGAACTCGTGTGAGGGCGGGGTTCAACTTTAGACTCAACTTGCGAGAGGGCCGACGGTTGACCCTCGTGTTGACCTGGGGGTTGCATTTCGGAAAAGAACGTCGCGGGGAGCTCGGATATGAGCTTATCCAGCCCGTCGTCAGCCTCGTCGTCTGTCGAGAGTAGCCATTCCGGACTGACGATGCTACCGATTTCGTTCATTTTCGAACAATGAAGCGGTTGCTACGGACGCTCATTTTTGGTTGCTACCCATGGGAAGTATTTCGCGCTGAATGCGTAACTACATGATTTGATTGGTCAATTTTCTAACCGTATTACGCAGAAAATAGTCGAATTTTCTAAGGGCTAAATGTATGGATTTGTTACAAAGTATACTATT